TCTTTCCTTTTTAATCATGTCGCAAATCACTGCTACGGGTTTCGTGATCGCGCCGATTTTGAGATTTGGCAAAGATGAATGGATCCTGCCCACAAAATCGTACGTTCCCTATTCCGTTTCGGAAATATTTCCATATGCGGTGACGTATCTACAACAAACTGCAGCGCTGTTTTATGCAATTATGCTCAACGTTTCATTCGACTCCCTTGTTTATGGATTCACAATTCACGCTTGCGGGCAGATCGAGCTGATATGTCGCCGATTAACAGATAATATAAAGGTCTCCATAAATTCCCGGAAGGAATCAAATGCAGCTGCATCGATTAAGGAATGCGTCAGGCATCACATACTTGTGCACACTTTTGTGAAGAAAATAGGAGCGCTATTCCTGTGGACAGTCATGATCCTTTTCTTCTTCAGTATGATTATTCTATGCACCAGCATTTTCTTGATATCAAAGGTTGGGGCAATATGCTCTTTTGTCGGTTATTCTTTTTAATTAATTCTATAGCTAAATAATTAAATAAATAAATAAATAAATAAATATATATATAATTTTAATTTGCTTAGGTTATAATTTTCTAAGTTAAAATATAATTATAACATTTATATTTTAATAGCGTGAAAAATAGAATATACATAAACTTTATATTTCTAAAGTATCTTATATTATTATTTCAATAATATAAACAATTAATATTATTATAATAGCAACTTTGTATTTTTTAAATTTTTGCACATATGAAAAAAATTCATTAATGTATGCATCTGTTTTGTATTGTTTGTAGTTTGTAAATTAAATAATTTTGCAGAAAAAGCTCTTTAGCATCCAGTTTCTTTCTATGACATTATATTTTAGCAGCATAATGCTGCAGATATTTTTTTATTGCTGGTATGGAAACGAGCTTGAGTTAAAGGTAAATAATTATATTTATAACAATTATACTTTAATAAAATTTCAGAATCTCAAAATGCAAAATACTAATATTGTTCTATAAGAAAATATTAGATCTGATTATACAACAAATACTCGGCAACTTCTTTTGCAGAGCAAAAATATCGCGAATAGCATTTATTTTAGCAATTGGACATTGACCACGTCGCATGAGCGTAGATCTCTGATACTCATTATGATAAACAGTCAAAAAGGATTGACTTTTTCCAATAAGAGAATATTTACGTTATCTCTGGACACTTTTACCTGGGTAAGTAAACTCAGAAATAAATATATACATGTATATCACAAAGTTTACATTTATAGAGTTTATTTTTAAATAAAAAGCATTTTAAACTTATTGTCGTTATTGCAATTTTCTAAATGTTTAAGTTAGTATATATAAAAGAATAAACTATAGAAAATTTTTAACATTATCAATTTAATTTTGTTTTTCTAGATTTGTAAAACGTCTTACTCAGCTTTTAATCTCCTGCAGCAAGCATCGGATTAATTAACAGATAGTTAAGTGTAATTTATTTTTATTACAACATAGTTCTATATTTATATAAGATGTATAGTAGACGACATTATATAATGTTTTCTGAAAAAATTAGTTGTTATATCAATTATTATTAATTATATTAAATTGTTGCAAATTTTCTGCTATGGAAGAATAAAATATCGCAATTGCTAAATTGTCTGCGTGAAAAAATGTGCCAACCAAAAAATTCCACAGAAAAATTAATAATGGAACAACATAGTTGCAGAAGTATTCTACACGAAAAAAAAAATAATTAGCTGCCGTAGCTAAAAACTGCGTGTGGTAACTAGATTTCAGTCGTAATATATGGACAGCGAACATCTTAGCTGTGACACCTATTTATTAGGTGCAACAGCAAACCGTTTTGCTGCAGTTTAAAAATTTATTTTGCAAACCATGATTAGCTATGGTAGCGAAATTTATTTTTTCCGTGGGATAATTTGGATTTTGATATATTATATGACATTTGATGTATGATGAGATGTCGTATAATATTCAGGTCTCTTTAAACGATCTAGAATCCGCAACAAAATTAAATCCGAAACAAAAAACAAATTTTACGCGAAGACGCAATTAATTATTTGCGAAACTGTTGAATTAAATAAAAAAACTCGAAATCAATAGATGAGATCGATGCGAATATTCTTCGCTCCGACTTTTGTTTCAAAACATATATATGTCTTCAAAATGTAGTGAAAAAGGAAACCGTGGTATTTGGCTATCTACATATGCAGACATGATATGGTGACACCATATGGTACATGAGACATGACGGGATTAAATGAAGACGATTCCACTCTGTTCTTATCGGGCAAACAATCGATTTAAGCCGAACGGCTTATCAAAGTAAAATACCACGCAAAGACACTATTCATCATTCGCGAAACACTGAAAACCGACGCACTAATATGCGCTTAAATACACTAACTACATGATTTATTTACGACAGGCATTAGTACGAAAAGCATTTATGCTTTTATAGCATTGTTATTTCCAGCAATCCGTAGATTCTGTCAAAATCATGTAATGAGAATATTGTCGACCGTATTTCCGCGTACATCACATTATCTTTGTAGAATTCTTGTAGTACGCGGTAATAAACGTCTTCGAAGATAGGTCGATAGGACAGCCAGGAATTCATAAACTTGAAAATGCTATTAAACTTTTCCCATGTCTTGTCAACGGTGCTATAAGCGCTTCTCGGATTTTCCGTGATCATGGTCATCGACCGTCTGATTCTATCATTGATTGCATCGGCCTGTTGTAGATCCCATCGCACCTTGCTAAGCAATTGCCAGTCACAAGTTTCGTCAGGATTCTTGAAAAGCTTAAGTTACAAACTGCCGTTTTGATCGCACACGTATAAATTTTAGCGATAGGTCACATTGTTGAGTTTATAATCGAGCGAAACGATGACGGATTCGTGAGTATGGAGAACGGCGCCCTTGGGCATTTAATTTAAAATCTTGAATACCTCAAATTTTTCTATTTCCGACATGATCTCCAGGAAGTTGCGCTATGGTAGAAAGTTATTGCTGGTAAACCCTGTTCAAAATATGAAGAATTTCTATTATAGGGATTTTCATTTATTTATTACGACTATATTTTTCACGAAGCAGATGCAACATACTTAATATTTGATCAACGAAAGTTGTCATTTGGATAAATTTATTCTGCAATGACAATCTAGAGCAAAAACACAACCTTCATATTATTTTTTTCTATCAAAGCGATATACATAAATAACATTGCAGGAAGGTTGCATAGTTAGCTATGCCATAAATCAATCGTCTTTAAAATTTAAATACGTTCGATGATATACGCGTATGCTATTATTATATTATTAATGTAGTTTAGAATGATGAAATGTTACCGGAAATTTTTTCTTATTGTGATCGAACTTCAACTCATTATGCATTATTGAGAAACGAAGAATTTCTATCGTCTTGAGATAGAGACACACCAAATGACAAAGAAATAACGTGCAGCTATGGACATTCTGCCAGTAAATTTTAAAGTCTTATGGTTTTGTGGCGCATGGAAAGAACGAAATGACAATAACATCATTGTTGGTTGTCTACATTCCTGTTACAAGTATTTAAGTGCATAAAATATAAGGGTGGCTTATCTGTATTTAGAATTAAAATAAAGATAAAATTATTTTCATTTTTATATTAAATTGTTAAAGTTATCAGATTAAAGAGAGAATTTTTCTTTGGTTATTTGAAACTATTGATCGTAAATTTTATACTCGCAGGTACGCAGTCTTTTTCCTAATATATGAGTTTACGATATTTGAGGTGATAGAACTGATTCGCACGTGTGATCGAATCGATGAGTTCACTGAAGGACTCTTTTTGGCATCGACTTATGTAACATTGTGCCTGAAATATGCAAATTTTTTGCTACGAAAGAACGATGTGTCTGAGTTGTTGGATTGTCTGCGCGTAAAAATATGCCAACCGAGAAATTCGACGGAAAAGATGATAATAGAGACTCATAGTCGAAAAGGTATTCGGATATTATTAAAAATAACATATATGAGATTCAAAAAATTTTTTTCATGTAACTAATCGCGCTATACAAACAATTTAATTATTGTTAGTAAAACTCGATAAAAATTCACTGACTCAACGCACTGACCACTTTTCACGATCGGTTCGAATTCTGGCGAACGAGTCTTTTAGTGAACTAAATTGAAATATTTATGACAGCTAAGTGGAGCACTCTCTCCTTCTTAATCATATCACAAATCACTACTATGGGTTTCGTGACCGCGCCGATTCTAGGATTTGGCAAAGATGAATGGATCCTACCCACAAAATCGTACGTTCCCTATTCCGTTTCGGAAATATTTCCATATGTGGCGACGTATCTACAACAAACTGCAGCGCTGTTTTATGCAGTTATGCTCAACGTTTCATTCGACTCCCTCGTTTACGGATTCACAATTCACGCTTGCGGGCAGATCGAGCTGATATGTCGCCGATTGACAGATAATATTAAGATCTCGATAAATTCTCGGAAAGGATCGGATGCAACTGCGTCGATCAAGGAATGCATCAGGCATCATATACTCGTGCACATTTTTGTGAAGAAAATAGGAGCGCTATTCCTGTGGACAATCATGGTCCTTTTCTTTTTCAGTATGATTATTCTATGCACCAGCATTTTCCTGATATCAAAGGTTGGGATAATATGCTCTTTTGTCGATTTTTCTTTATAATTAATTCTATAGCTAAATAATTAAAGAAATATATATATACATATAACTTTAATTTGCTTAGCTTATAATCTTCTAAATTACAATATAATTATAACATTTATATTTTAATAGCGTAAAAAAGAGGATATACATAAACTTTATATTTCTAAAGTATCTCATATTAATTTCTAAAGTATCTTATATTAATTCAATTATATAAGCAATTAATATTATTACTTCAATATTATTATGATAGTATTTTTGTATTTTTTTAAATCCTAGACATATGAAAAAAATTCATTTATGTATGTATTTGTTTCGTATTGTTTGTAGTTCATAAATTAAATTAATTTTGCAGACAAAACTCTTCAGCATTCAGTTTCTTTCTATGATACTATATTTTAGCAGCATGATGATGCAGATATTTTTTTACTGCTGGTATGGGAACGAGCTTGAGTTAAAGGTAAACAATTATATAATAAAGATAAACAATTATATAATACTTCGATAAAATTTCAGAACCGTGAAATGCAAAATATTAATATTGTTCTATAAGAAAATATTAGATTTGATTATACAACGAATAATCGTCAACTTTTTTTGCAGAGCAAAAGTATCGCGAATAGCATTTATTTTAGTAATTGGACATTGACCACATCGCATGAGCGTAGATCTCTAATACTCATTATGATAAACAGTCAAAAAGGGTTGACGTTTTCCAATAAGAGAATATTTACGTTATCTCTGGACACTTTTACCTGGGTAAGAAAACTCGGAAATAAATATTATAAGTTATAATATTATACATATAATAACATTAAATTTTTAATATAAATTATAAATCATTATTTTAATTATATTCATATTTTATATTTATATTAATAATTAATTCTCCCCTAACTATTTATTTTTTTTATATATTATATTTAAATACATATTAAAATTATTAATTCATTAATAATTAATAACATTAAATTTTTAATATAACTTTAATGCGATATATACATGTATATCGCAAAACTTATATTTGCAGAGTTTACTTTTAATTAAAAAAAAATTAAAACTTGTTGTTACTGCGATTTTCTAAATGTTTAAGTTAGTATATATAAAAGAGCAAACTATAGAAAATTTTTAACATCAATTTAATTTTGTTTCTTTAGATTTGTAAAACGTCTTACTCAGCTTTTAATCTCCTGCAACAAGCATCGGATTAATTAACAGATACATAGTTAATTGTAATTTATTTTCATTACAACGTAGTTCTATATTTATATAAGATGTACAGTAGACGACATTATATAATGTTTTCTGAAAAAAATTAGTTTTTATATCAATTATTATTAATTATATTAAATTGTTGCAAATAATCATTCGTTATCTGTTAATAAAACCTCAAATATTCGCTGATCGAAAGTTTAGTTCCATAACAATGTCCCGTTCATACCAAATTTGTTAATAATTCAGCATAAAATTTTTTTATTTTTTATCGTTAATAAAATAAAATTGTCTTGAAAAGTTATATCTTTGGTCATTTCTTATAAAACTTCTTACATCTTCACTTACAACTTAGTTTATTATTCATGTCACGCAAATCGATAGGCACGTATCGTCCATTCAATATTAAGTTCAATATATATATAGGTATATAAATTCTTTCTTGTGGAAATTTGATATTATGTTGAATAGAAATTTTTCTTAACAAATATTTTCCGCGAGATACTCGATGGTCGTCTTATGTCAAAGATATGTTACGGATATAAAAGCGAATCCTTTTTTCTTCGGTATGTGAAACGAATAACAACGTTTAGAAAAGACTGCTGAGGTAGAAGACTCGACCGTATTAAATTTTACCGTACATTCCACAATGTTGTGCACATCTTATTACTAATGCAGATCATAATAACGAAATGTCTTCGAGGGAGATTTTTCTGTGTTTGGTATAGTAGAAGTGATTCGCATGCGTGACCACATTCACGAAATGACAAAAGAGTTTTTCTTAGGATTGACCTTCTTTGAATTTTACATTGAATGTAAAATACGCAAATTTTCTGCTATGGAAGAGTAAAGTGTCGCAATTGCTGGATTGTCTGCGTGAAAAAATGTGCCAAGCGAGAAATTCTACAGAAAAATTAATAATGGAAGAACATAGTCGCAGAGGTATCCGAATAATTTGCGTTTTGATATGTTATATGACATTTGATGTATGATGAGATGTCGTATAATATTCAGGTCTCTTTAGACGATCTAGAATCCGCAACAAAATCGAATCCGCAATAAAATCGAAATATTACGCGAAGACGCGATTAATTATTTGCGACACTAAAAAACGATAATAAACGAAAAAACTCGAAATTGATAGATGAGATCGATGCTAATCGTCTTTGCTCCGACTCTTGTTTCAAAGCATATATATGTCTTCAAAATGTAGTGAAAAAGGAAACCGTAGTGTTTGACTATTTACATGCAGACATGATACGGCGACACCATATGGTACATGAAACAAGACGGAATTAAATGAAGACGATTCCACTCTGTTCTTATCGAGCTATTGATCGATTGAAACCGAACAGCTTATCAAAGCGAAATACCACGCAGAGACACTACTCATTATTCGCGAAACACTAAAAACCGACGCACTAATGTGTGTTTAAATACGCTAATTACATGATTTATTTACGACAGGCATTATTGTAAAAAGCACTTATGCTTTTATAGCATTATCACGAGTCAATTGGGTACTTAGCTTCCCCTTCAGGAAAAACCTTCCAGGTACTAAGCCCTCCCACCAACGTCAAGGTGTATAAAATAAAATAAATAAAAGCCGATTATTCAGCAATGCTTTGTGCAACACTAGTATATGCCAGAAAGTTCTGTTACTGCAATTACAAGAGACTCGGCAAATTCTATGCTTACCCTACAATTACGTCTAAGATTGGAGGTGTAATTACAAATTGTGTTCTAGCATGAGTACATGTTATATCTCCCAGATTCATGGAATTCGTGCGCTACTGATAACGTTAAATTAATGCAATGTCTTAATTATGTCATCGCAATAATATTCGTTGTCGCAGCAGTAATTGCAGCAATATCCTAATGTATCAAAATTGTTAGCTACGTAAATGTATCGATTAATCTCCATATTAACGGCTTTAAGAATTAATACTTGCATATATTTAATTTAACATGTATATCTAAGACTTTTATTTAATGCATAAATGAAGAATTATTTATATAAATCAACATACAACGCAGAGTTAAATTCAAGTTGTCAATCAAAAAATTGAAACATATATGTCTTCAATATGTGTGTAAGAAAAAATGACGACATAATGTTCGGTAGGCTATACATGAAGACATGATATGTGTTTTGGGTACTTAGCTTCCCTTTCAGGATAAACCTTCCAGGTACTAAGCCCTCCCACCAACGTCAAGGTGTACCCGTTGGGAGGGTTTTTTATATATAATTGTTAATATAATATATAATTTGTAATTTATTTTATAATTATGAGAGATTATGCTTTTATCGCATATTTTAATATAAGTGAATAAATATACAAGTTAAAATTAAACATAAATATTTAAGGATTATTAACATTCGAGAATACAATTAAATTTGCCGATTGTCACAATTTGCCGATATTCACATGATTTCAATTGATTTCAAATGATTTCACTTGGCTTCAATAGATTTCAATTAATTTCAAATGATTCTCGGCTAAACAATAATATCTTATATACCATAAGAAAATGAATGTTAAATATTGTGTATAAAAGATTCTTATAAATTTATTTAATTATTCATGGCTAAATGGAGCACTATATCGTTTATGATGATATCGTACGCGACCGGGCTGGGCTTCATGATCACCAGCTCTAGGATTATTCACGAAAAACGAGCGTGTGCTGCCGTTGAAGTCTTATGTTCCATACTCCGTATCGAATCTATTTATATACTTAGCGTATCTGTCGAGGGGCTATGCACTAGTGAATATTTCATGAATACTTCAAGCAATTAGAAAACCAGGTAATGTGATTTCATACGATCAGTGATTTCTCATCAGTCATTGAAACCGATTTCTCATGATTTCGATTTTGATTTTATACCGGAGTGCTTCAATGATTTCCTGAATGAATAGCCCCTCGGTATCTGTAGCAGTTTATAACGCTGTTCTACGCGATAATGCTCAACATTTCCTTCGACAGTTCTGTTTACGACTTCACGATTCACATCTGCGCACAGATCGATTTGATGTGTTATTGATTGACGGACAGTTTGAAAAGCATCTTTTCCGGAAGGAAGATCGGGACGAATATCTCGATCAAGGAATGCATCAAACATCATTTGCTCGTGAAAATCATGATAAAAAATGCAAAAATTATTCATATAATCAATCATGATACTTTTCTTTTTCATAGTCATCATGTGCACCAGTATTTTTCTAATATCAAAGGTACATTACAAAAGCGGAACGTTTTATTTATAGTGTTGCTGATGTGATATATATTTATTTTCTGCAGATGAGGCTGTTCAGCTTTAAGTTTCTTTCCATGCCCTCATATCTGCGCGGTATGATGCTTTAATTATTTTACTACTGTTGGTACGGAAACGAGCTTGAATTAAAGGTAAATTATGTTCTGTAACGTACTGTAATATTGTAAAACGTAGATGTAGACGCATAGCTTAAATAAAAAGTGTATAGATAGGGTGTAATTAAAAGGTACGGTTCTATATATACGTAATAAATGTCTAAAAATAAATGAGAAACAGAAAATTTGAAAAATTCTATTGTGATTATTGTTTGAAAAGTGCGTGCTCGCACTTGCAGAATTAATATCTTGGCGCCTAAAAAATAGTAAAATTATTATTAGTAATATTTCGATTTTATTACTAT